TTTTTGGGGGGGGGGGGTCCTTATCACAAGGATCCTACTATTTGGGAATTTGGGCTACTATATTAGGGTCCCCTATTTTCGGAAACCCCCATATGTGTCCCTGACTACGACAAGGAGGGGCCTGTGATGGACCTGGTGGAGCCGTTTAATATGTTTAATCGGGTCTACATACTTCGAAGACCCTTTAGAAATCCTAAAACGCACGGATTCAGTTCACAGAGCTTTAAGTATACATACTCCATGTTGTCAGGGGCCCCTATTCAGGATGTCTTGGCCTATGAGTATACCCTAATTTGGTGCTGAAGCCGAAGCCAAGGCGCTGTAATCGGTGTTGCCGCATGTCCTTCTCTTTCTGCGCCGTCACCTGTGGGCGTCGTGTTCTCTAAACTAGAATCTCTTTTCAGGGTCCTTTCTAATCATAAGGGACCTAAATTAGGACCCTTATCTAGAGAGCTAAACCCCAAATCGCCAACCTTGCAAGGCCCTGCAAATTCCAAAGTCCTACAGTGACGGCGGACAGCACCAAACCTCTGCAACATGCGCTTTAGCTCTGAGGCGATCTCTTAGCCGACTTTAATACAGAGTTTAGGGTCTAGGGTTTAGGGTTTATTCGCATTAATCCCCTGGAGTTATATAGACCCTAAACCCTAAACCCTCAACCAAAACAGCACAATTCCTAAGAGCAGTAAAGGTCTATAGAACTCAGGATGCCGGGCTGGAAAGGTTTGGGCTCGGGTTTAAGTCCCTAAACCCTAAACCCTAAACCTTCAACCCTAAACCTTAAACCCTTATGGTTGGTTTGGGTTTAGGGTTTAGAGCTTGGGAGGTTGAGAGCAGAGGACTTCGGATTTCAGGTTTAGGGCTTTAGGGTTTAGGGTTTAGGGTTTAGGGTTTAGGGGTTAAGAGTACAGGATTTCGGATTTCTGATTCATGTGTTGGTTCCCGACCTGGGCTAGGATATCATCCAGGCGTGTGAAACTGCACGAATGACAGGGCTGGGAATGAGGCGCGCACGGGATTCTCCAACCTTGAACCCCAACAGCCTGCTTCGGGGTTTAGGGTTTAGGGGTTTAGGGTTTAGGGTTTGCCTCAAATTTAGCATAAACGTGACCCTTAGGCCGGAAAAAGAAACCCAAACCCTAACACCCAGACCCTCGAACCCGAATTAAACTAAAATCTGCACCCTCAGGTTCCAATCCCTCGCGTCAAAACCCACATTCCGCTGAGTCGGGAATGTTTTAAGGGTTTAGGGCGTATACACCCCACATCCTCAACCCTGAGCCGCCCTTGCCCGTTTACGGTTTAGGGTTTAGGGTTTTGGGTTTAGGGAATTTAGAACTGGGGTTTATGGTTAGGGAGTTTGCGGATCGATTGCTGCCTGCTCTGACTTTAGCTGAAGAAGCCTACGTCTGCACTTAGAGGTACTTCTTTCTGGAGGTTTCGCAGGATAGCTCTGAGATTTCAAGACATTTAAGCATGAGGGTTTCGTGAAGGGCTTGGGGCAGTCGACTTCCCGGTATTCTCAGTACCAGAAGCACATCCCTAAAACCCAGAAAACACTGAGTGCTGTTCCTAATGTAGGGGCCTTAGTAATTAGAAGAGGGTTTTTGGGTATATTATACTATACTTATAATAAGGAACCCCACAATAGTATTGGCAATTCTTTACGCCCCCATATTAAACCAACCTAAATTGTTGGGAAGGTCCGAATGCCTTTGCGCGCCCCAAAAAAAGGATTAATGTAGGGGCCTTAAAAATTAGAATAGGGTTTTGGGCTCCTTTATAAAATTAATATAATAAGGAACCCTAACAGTAATATTGAAACCCTACACCCTAAACCCTAAACCCGAAACAGTAATTCCTTAGGCTTCTATATGAATTAATTCCTCAGAGGATGAGGGGACTCACTAAGTAGGTTATAAGCAAAGTTGCAGCCAGGATCGCCCTGGCTTTGGTGAACAACAATACTTCCCAAAGGGTTAGGGTTTAGGGTTTAGGGTTTAGGGTTTCGGGTTTAGGATTTAGGGTTTAGGGTTTAGGGTTTAGCCTTATACCCCACTGACAACGCCCCCAATCCTTTCCGCGTGATCAGTCATGCGCAAGCGCAGGCTACACAGGGAACCTCCGACAGAAAGAACAACACCAACACCCTCACCATAGATTGTCACGGTCTAAGGGTGTGAGTGTAGAAGTCTTGCAAGTAAGTCAATGCCCACAAGGGCCCCCAAACCGTTCAAACACAAACCCTAAGCAAGAAACCTACATCCTAAACCCCAGCCCCTCAACCCCAACCCCTAAACCCCAAACTCTAAACCCATAAACCCTGAACCCATACGCCCCTAGACCCTAAACCCTAAACGGGAGCCTTCGGAAGCTGGATCTGATGGAGCGATTCCAGACCTTTTAAGTCTCGAACCTGCTTCAGTTTAGGGTTTATAGGGCTTAGAGGGTTTAGGGTTTAGGGTTCAGGGTTTAGGGCTTAGGGCTTCGAGGGCTTAGGGCTTAGAGGGCTTAGGGTTAGTGTTTGGGCTTCAGGGGTTCAGGGGTTTCAAGTTTAGGGTTGCAGGCTGTGGCTGTAAGCGCTTAGGGCTTAGGGTTTACAAAGGGTTTGAGAGAGTTTAGGGTTTATAGGGTTTAAGGGAGTTTAGGGTTTAGGCTTAGAGGGAGTTTAAGGTTTAGGGTTAAAGGGAGTTTAAGGCTTAGGGTTTGAGCGAGTTTAGGGTCTACCCTGTGGCCTCGTGCAAGACAGTAGGTTATGAAGTCATGACCCTTTAATGGGGTATAACGCATTTGTCATGACTCACAAGACAATAGGTTTTAGGATGAAACAATTGTAGTTTTCGAGCTGCCTCATTACGGCATTTAAAGTTTGTTCCCAGCCGAGGTTAACCTGGTCAAAGGTCACTTTGCATTTGTTTGTTTTGTTTTTGTGCTTTTGTGACTTTTAAAACCAACTTTCCTGCCTAATCTGACATTGGGCCGAGCGGCGGTGCAACGGCGTTGTCGACGGAAACCACATCGTACTCCTTTAAGCTGAAGGTTGCCAAGACCTTTTCGAGGAATTCAAGCGCTTCGGAATTGAAGCGATTCTCGAAGCGGAATGACCGAACCTGATCTGTGATCTTACCACCCGCGTTACGTCCCTCGAGGGACGTAGCGATGATAGACCTGATCGAGTTCTTCCACTTCTTGAGCTCGTATTCAGTCCTCCCGTGGCGCTGAATGACATACCTCCCCAAGGTTTCAATAGGCTCTCCAACTTCGCTGACCTCGACATCTCGCTCGTCTAACGGCGAGGACCAGTTGACAAGAAATTCCCTTGCCGCGCACTGGGCATCGGTTGGGACAGTCGCCACTTGGTCGTCACCGTAGTCCAACGAGCTTGACGCGACATCGCAGACCATGTGGTCTTCGTCAGCGCCGGTTTGCAATCTAGGATTCTATGGTTTAGGGTTAACGGCTCAAGGAGTTTTGGCGTAGGCCTAAATCCTAAACAAGAGGTAAAAGGGCGTAAGGTTCGACTCGGGCAGGAAGCACCTCAACCGACCTGCGTATGTTCCCTTCGGGGCCTCTAAACGGAGCTGCTGGGTTTAGGGTTTAGGGTTTAGGGTTTAGGGTTTAGGGTTTAGGGCCTCTCTCTCCGGGGCTTGATACGGTTGATGATATAAATCCTGCATTACCCATAGTAAGGAGTATACCATTATTCCCATACATATGTATAGGGTGCTTAAGGTAATACTTACAGGGTTTATATCATCAACCGTAGGGCCT